AAAATTATAAATTAGATATTAACAATTATACATTTATTTTCTACATGAATTATAAAATTAATTAATGTAGCAAGCATTATTGAGGAAAATAGAATTGTTTATTGGTGCAATTTATCTATTTTTAGGTATTTCCCATATACTTCTACTAGGAAAAAAAAAAGGACATCAAACACATTCAGAAATGACTTGAGATGCTGTTTTACACAACACGTGATGTTACTGATGTTAATGGTACAATAGATTTCAGAAATGAATTGAAATTTTGCATGCATTAGAAATCTCATCCCCAATATATTATAGTGTACTATGGGGGAATTACATAAAGGACATGAGCCCTCCTGGTACTGAGCATCAGCCAGTTATAGATTGTTTATCCTTTGGAAGAAACTTGCTAAGAAACTTGCACTGCTATGTGCAATTTGTCCTGCAGTTGTTCAGTAAAAGTTTCTTTTCTATCTTCTGAAGAATCAGCTGTTGTCCGTGGTCAGAGACAAGATAGCAAATTAGCTAGATCCCTGATCTAATCTAGCATAAGAAATGCAATACTGACCAGTCAAGCCCGAGGTTCTTCAGGCCCAATATCTGTGCCTTGTAGTGGCTGCTACTAGACCCTTAGGAAGGAGCCTGCTTTGTACGTAAGGCCTGGACCAAGAGAGTCCTTCCTCCCCCTGTATTTCATGCCAGCCTTCCAGTATTTAGTGGTTCAGAACCAGAGGTCACATCCAGACCTTTGTGTTAAAGAGCTACTGATGAATTTGCCCTCCGAAAGTTCTTCCAATCCCATTTGAACCCATTTATTCTAAAATGTCCATCCGTGGTAATGATCTCCACAGTTTAATTAAGTGCTTTCTGAAAATGGATAACACTGATATCCCAAAGAAAGATACTGGGTTGATACACCTTTGATCTGATGGGAATTCTTATGTTCTTATTTATATTATGCTGACTTGTGATTATGCCACAGCTGTCTTCATTCCTTGAAAGCAAACACAGTTAGATTTATGAGGGGTTTTATGTAATTTTCTATCAGAGGAATAATTTCATCCTTTTTTATATTTTTCCTTATCACCTTGTTTATGTTTGGCCTAATAATTATCTTTGCTGTGGGATGGAGTTGTTCTCATCCCAGTTTATACATCTCTCCCTTGAATTTTGCACCTCATGCTCACATGCTAAGAGTTTGTAGTTTGGTTAGAATTAGGACAAAGTCATGTTTTAGCTTGTGAAGACTTGTGTATATCTGCTGCAGTTCATGTGATTTTACTCCCTGGGAGCTTTGCTTTACATTTTAGTTCCCAATAAACATACACTCAAAGTGTATTTCAGCCAAAGCCACTGATTTTGCTTGATTTCAAGTCAAAAACATGCAAGTAACAAGCATCACATGATTTCCATCCATCTGATTCTGGGTCACTGACAAATTTGTGAATCCTTCAGTGAATCTGCGGTGAATCCTTGCACTGCTCAGTTGCTGCTTCCCTTCAGTGTACAAGACGTGCTGCAGAGCAGCCCCCGTCTGCTCAGACTTTTGTTGTCCTTACTGATGTCAGGAACAGCCAGAGGTCAGCTGGGTGTCAGACATGGTTCTCCTGGGAGAACGCTCCCAGCACTAGGGTTACCTGGACACGCAGCTTTAGCACCTTTAGTTCACACCAACCCAAAAGATGCAAATCTTTCCATTAGCCCTTGGCCATCTTGTATTGGCAGTGCCTGCTGCTCACACAACTCATCAAGATTGTGTCTAGTGCGTGATCCTTTCACTTGGTGAACATAACATTGGGCAGTTATTTAGCACACTGCAGCTTTCCAGCTAACAGTTCTCCTTAGGTAAAAAGATGCTGCTTTTTCAAAAACTATGGAGTACAGAACAAGCATTGGTCCTGTTTGGTTTGTTTTTTTTTTTCCAGAAAAGATACAGTTCAGTGCACTCTTTTCATCAGTTTGTTATTTTTTAGATACAGTTATAACATCTCAGCTCTCAGACAATTAGGAAAGAAACTACACTAATTTTATTAAGTGAACAAAGCAAATTATCTTTTCTATGGATATTAAAGATACTAAGTAAAATAATGTCAAACTACGGTAAAACTGATAAAAACCAGGATTAATCCCAGCCAATCAAGCCGGGGTTTGATACCCAGCCTTGGGGGAAGCACTTGAGGTACTAGGATAGATTATGTCAAGCTTCAGCCTGTGTCCATAACAACAGCCTGGATGCCCTTTGAATTGCCTCTTTTCTGCAGAATCCCACAGCTCACCTTTTCTAAATAAGACAGAAGCAGAATAATAAGATAGTCTGTAATTTGCTTAGGGTAGGCCTAACCTAAGAAGATACAATGCTGCCCCAAAGAAGCCAGTAAAAGTTTTGTCACTGATTCCAGAGGAGCCGGGGATTCCCCCAGGTCAGCTATAGTAAGTATGCCTAAAGAAAAGGTTCATAATCTAATCACAAAAGTCCAAAATTGCAGCCCTGAAATCCCCTGCTTAGCCACTACCTATCGCTGAAAATGAGTGATCTCTGTAAGGGTTTTACTTTTTTGTTAAATGCTCACAGTGCCTGGAATTAGGCTTCTATGTACACCCAAAGCTGTTCTTGTTGTGACACTGTTGATCACCCCAGACATACCCCACAGCTTCGTCTGGTCAGTGCAGAGCACCGTGCTTGGCAGCGTGAGGACACGACACTGGGCTGCCAGAGTGAAATCCAGACCTTGTGCAGCTTAAGCCAGAAGGTTCAAGAAAAGAAAATGTTGCCACAAGTCTGTTGTGGACTGACTGACCAACTGGTAAAAGTACTTGTCTCAATTTCATTTCCATCTGAGAGCATATCCCACCTTACAGAGGAGAACACAAACCACTATCTGGCAGGCAGATACCCCTGACAACTAAAGACAACAGCATCATTCCTGCTGCATGAGCAGATACAGACAGGGCTCCTGTACACCCTACTCAAGTCATCTTCCTTTTGGGGAAGTCCTTTAGTCTAGTTTTATGAAGTGAACGAAGCAAATCACAGTCCTTGGGACTTCTGCCATTTGTCAGGAACTTCAGATGTCTGGGATGTGTCATAAAGGACATGGTTTGTCCAAAACTTCTGGACAAATGACTGCTGTGCACTGTGGGTGCTGCAACAGAAAAACTGACATGGACTTACCATCCAGTCATCATCTGATCACGGTGCCGTCAGTAGGCCCAGTATACCCACAGAATGTGGGAATCCCTGTGACCCCTATATGTTTCATGCATGCATATTTAAGTCCAAAAAAATCCAGGGAGATAGATGGGAGCCCTTCTGTACACACATATACCTTCAGGGGAGGGCTCCAGACATTGCATACTGGGCAGACAGCGGCACCTCCTTGCAGGTGGAGCTTAATTCACGCATGATGAGTGCGTGTCTCCACTGAGCTTGCTCATTTTAAGTGACTCCTGCTCGGCATGTTGGCTCCTCTAGGTCCCATGCTGACGTCCTAATGCTGTGTTTGAGCCCTGGCACTTCAGTCAGGGTTGTAGATTCAATCTGGGCAGCCCAACAAACCCAAACATCAGGTATCAATATCCCTCCCCTAGACACAAAAACCTTTTGAGATCTAGCCCTCAGAGTCTGTGTATTTCAGGGTGCTCGCACCCACATAAGTTTATTATTTTTGTGCTTTTTTTTTTTTTCAATAAAATACATTAAAGTAATTTTAAATAATATAGAAGGCAAAATCATTACAAAAGCAAACCAATAAACTTCCAAGCAATCTAAAGTAGCACAAATACTGCTCAGGGGAGTGGGCCTGTTATTACAGCAGTCACAGGAAAGTTAGAGGCTCCAGCAAAGATGAAAACAATTTTTTCAATGTTGATGAACTAATATTCCTGATATTTATTATCTCGGGGTACAAAGATGGCTTTTGTCTGTAAGTTAACTGCAAGTTGAAGATGACTGATATGCGGAAAACTTTCAGGAAAGTGATGCCAGATTCTGGCTCCCGCTTGTATTTATTTGGCCACAGTAATTGAGTTTTATTCAAATAACTTTCTTCTTAATTTTATAGAGCATAATATACTAATATTAGTATTTTAGGAATGATTTAAAGTCAGACATTTTATTAGAAATGGTACTACGTCTTCCGCATCTCATCCATCGAGTCAGTGTACTGGGATGGGGGTTTCTAGCATCTCCAGTGTATCAGGACAGGAGTGACAGTCATACTGACTTAGCAAGGTAATGAAATTAAATTATACCAGCAATTATTTGTGGACCCAGGGTGTTCTCCTAGCTGCCTGCAGCTTGCTCTTCCCAGTCCATTCTGCACAATCCAAGAGGAGGTCTGAATAGGTTCTCAGCTTTCAGTTGATGGTCTGTCAGAATTAATATTCAGAGATTGCAGCTTGTAACAAGCACATTTATAGTCATATGAGAAGTGCGTGGTTTTATGGGAGATCTCTATTCAGAATTGTATCTGTCTTCAAAAATACATGTATATAGCACAAAGAGGGAAAATGATACAACTCTACTGTTTCCTTCTTGGTAACCTGGCTTCACCTGTGTGAGATGAGTTTAACCCTTTGATGAGCGTTAAGAGTGCTGAATATCATATCGTAATGGCATAAAGAGACAGGAAACTACACTTTTTAAGAATAACTCAAACCTCTACATTTCGTGCCTCGAACTCTGTTTTCAGTGATTTGTACACTTTGGTTTGGAAAAAAAAATACCTTAAATGCAAGTGTATTTCTGAGCTACCCTACTTTTGTACTAAATGAACTTGAAGCTCTACGAAGAGCATGGTAAACATGCTAAGCAGATTTTTGCGTGTTAAAATACTGTCCACAGACTGCATGGTTTTCGCCTTCTTGCACAGAAGGAAAAAAAAAAATCCTTGGATGTGTGAGGTTTCCAGTTTCTAAAGAGAAGAAAGTGTTACTTCCCCTTTAAGCCTGGAGCCGTTTGTGTGTGTGAGCGTGTGTGTGTGTGTGTGTGTGTGTGTGTGTGTGAGAGAGAGAGAGAGCGTGTGTGTGTGTGTGTGTGTGTCTCCTCCTCTTTGAGTGACACAGCACTTAGATATGCCTATCAGTAACTTAAACCCCACAAACTCCACCTTCTAAGTGAGGAAGCTGTGGGTTGATGGAAATGTAGTGAGCAGATTGAGACAGACAGTGAATCATTAGCAAACTGCAACGCCAGGATGAACTTGTCTGGAACCTAAAAGGAGAAAACCGTCTCGGAGTCCTTCGCGGTGCTGGGTTTTGCGAAATACAGCCAAAGTGGATCTAAAAGCCGGTTGATCCCCAGTCCAAGATGCTGCTGGTTTCCCAGCGGGTAGAAGCACCACGCATGGAGCCACATATTCCAGTAAGTAGCATTTGAAATCGATACGGACTGGAAAAGTAGGAGTTGATTTAAAAGGACTTGAACACCCTCGGAGGAGTTGCTGGCCCGGGCTCGGCGCGGCTGCAGCCGGAGCCGCTCTCGGCCGGGGTTGTAAAGTTTGCAGCCGCGATGCAAGAAAGTGCCCACCTTGTGCTGGCTTTGCCCGGCTACTTCGTGCCCGTAGGGGCTGCGCCGGGGCTTTGAAAGAGAAGAAACCAGAAACTTGGGGTGAAAATTTCGCCCCCCTCTCTGGTGAGAGCTGATGTCAGTCCGGGGCGGGGGGGGGGGGGGGGGGAGGCTGTCGCTTGCGGCGGGAGGGAGGGGGCCCGTGGGCTTTAAAATGGTGGTGTACAAGGTGATCTCCGGGGCGGTGCGGTGGCCGGCGGGGCGGGCAGCGCCCGGGGCCGCTCCGTGGGTTGGCGTGTCATTGCCGGTGTGGCGACACGCCGGGGTGCCGGGAAGAGGAGGAGGAGGAGGAGGAGGAGGAGGAGGAGGAGGATGCCGGTCTCTGTCGGGGTGAAACGGCGGCGGCCCGGGGGGAGCGGGACTGGGGAGCTGCCGGTGCGCCCGGCGCCGCAAACTGGGGCTGTCCCCGTGTAACCAGCCGTGCGGCCAGGCTGCCTCAGCCCACCGCGGGGGGGTTCTAGTTAAACTTAGATCAAACGGGCAGGGAAGGATAAACCCGTCATCGCAAGGGGACTTCACCGGGAAGGCGTTAGACGTAGAGGGGCTAGTGCTGGTCTGTGATTTTTTTTTTTTTTTTTTTAATAACTCCTGGTATTTGTGTTGGCAGCGCTGTGCCCGGTTATTTAGGGAGTCTGAAGCGCACGTTATATAGGCAGGATTTTGAACAAAAGGCTCCGCCGAGCCCAGAAGGAGCCCTCGGTTATTCCTGAAAAGAGTGTGGAGCCTAGCACCGAGCCGCCTTTTCGGCCAGGTTGCGTGTGTGTGCGTGCGTTTCTCGAAACGGGAATAGCCCGAAAGTGAGGGAGATGGTGCAGACGCGGCGTGTTTGCCACTCTCTCCGAGACTATACGTGTATCTGAAATAAAATGCATGCTGACTCACGGTTTAAACTGTTTTGGTTTCTCATCCTGTGATTAAGATCGGGGTTTAGAGCAATTGCAGGGTAAACAACGCGCTCGCTGACTCGGTCCCACGTCTGCTTCTAAGGCAGGGGCTGCCCCTCTCCCCCAGTCAATAGGCGATCCCTCCTCCCGGTCCCTCCTCCGCCGCCTTCCCCGGCCTGTTGCTGGGCCCGGGGGAGCGGCGGGGCCGAGGGCACCGCGGCTTTTGTTCGGGCTTGGCTGGCGGGGGGTTGTCACCAGGGTGACTCGGAGGGATCCCGGGGAGAACGGCCGTTTCTTGGAAGAAAACGGGCTTTGGTTTCCTTTCACACCGCCCGCCCCCCCGCCCCCCCGGAACAATAAATTAAAAGGCTGCTTTTGTTTTCCCCGGTGCACCCGGCAGGGCGGCGGAGGGGAGGCGGCGGAGCGCGGGGCCGGGGAGCGGGGCCGGGGGGCGCCGCGGAGCCGCTGCCCCGGGCCGGGCCGGGCCGGGGGTGCGGAGGCGCGATCGCCTCGCCGCTCCCCGTCGGAAGCGGATGAGCCTCTCGGGCAGCGGCCGCTGGTGGGGAGCCTCCTGGCACGGGCGCTGCACGAAAAGCCTGCCTCCTCCTCCTCCTCCTCCTCCGGCACGGGGCGGGGGGGGGGACGGGACACCCGCAGTCCCTCCCCCGACCCGCCAGCGGGGAGATTAACTGCGTCTGGCCCCTTCCCCGAGCCGGGGGCGGAGGCGCCGAGCTCCCCCACCCCCCGCCGCCGGGCTCCGGCCGCCTCCCGCTGCCGGGCGGCTGCCCCGGCTTGGGAGGAGGGAGGGGCGAGATACTCCCCCTGTTATATAATGTGAGTGTTTCCCTGCTTAGCCCTGTAATCCCCGGGTAATGCCTAATGCCCGTGCCCCCGGGGGAAGGGGGGCGGCTGGCTGCCCCTCCCGGAGCTCCCCCTCTGGGCCGAGCTGATGGGGAAATAAAGCTGCTGATGTGCGAGATGGACCATATGGTGCCTCCGGGAGAGAGGGAGCCGGAACGGCCTTGAACCTGCCGGACCCAGCAGCTGTTTGCTGCCGCCCCCGCCCCGGGCAGCTGATCGGTGTGTCCCAGCCCCCCCCCCCCCCGGCCCGGGCATCCCCCGGATAAGCGGGGGCCTTGCGCCCCCTCTGCGCCGGTAGCGGCTTTTCCTCGCCACCCCCAAACCGGGCTACCCGCCGGGATGTAATTTTGTGTATTCCCGTGCGAGAAGCTGACGGCAAGTAGAGTAACAGCGGGGGTGGGAGGCACTAATAGTGCGGGGGGGGGGGCGGCGGGGGGGGCTGCCAGATGCTCGGGAGCCGAACACACGCATCGGTGGGAGAAGAGAAGCTCCCTCGCACGGGGGGGGGGGGGGGGGGGGGGGCTGGCCTGCGGCCGCGCTCCCCGAGCTGCAGGCAGGCAAGAGCTGTTCGAGCAAGTTACACGCTAGCACCTAAAAAAGCAGCGATCTAGTTCTGGCACTGACCATTTTCAGTTCTCTCTCTGTGCCATATGTTTGGAAGGGGAAAAAAAAAGCAATTTGGGAAAGATGCTCTCAGCTGAAGGGAGGAGGTGGGCTGAGGGAGCGAGATACAAGGAAATTCCATGTTAGGAAAGCATTAGCGAAGGGTGACTTCTAATGTTTTCCTGCCACTGACGTTGACAGTGACACACATGTGTGGGTTGAAATTGGAACGTCACTGAGTTTTTAAACTCAACCAGGAAATAGTCTGTTGCTCGGGGATAAAAAACAAATAGTATATATTGTAAGGCAGGTAACATGCAGTTAACAGCTCCTCTTGAGTGAGTGAAAAGCTGTTTAATGTTCAGAGTTGAGCAGCTCAAATTTAATTTAGCTTTTTATTTTCAGAGGGCTGTATTTTTTTTTTTTCCAACTTGAGGTTTTTCATCTCTATTTTTAATCCTTTTAACTAATACTTCAGAATCAGAAAAGCAAATATTGACAGGGCTTCACTTTTAGTCCCTTGTAACTAAGCAGTTAGAACCTGCAAAGTCTCTTGTTTTTTTTTTTTTAAAGCTAAGGTAGTTGTTAAAGGGTTTGGTGGGGGATTAGTAATTACAGGAAGCATTTATATTTTTTAGAATTTTTTTTACATGGCTTCCTGCTACACAGGTAGAAGTGTTTTATAAATAGTGTGTTTGGTTTTGTTTTTTACCTGACCTTGTTACAAATGTTACAATGTGGTAGCATTCAGAGATTTAAAATGGGATTAGGGAGCTATTGTGCTAGATGCTTTCTGAACATACAGGAAGATTTACTGCAAGGGTTCATGATCCAAGGTGTCAGGTTGACACTCTTGCCCTGACTTAAATGGTTGCTAACCTGCCTGGATGCAGCTCTAGGACAAGGATTGACCTAGGAACTGGCTTCATGAGAGAGACAAAAGTTAGGAAGGCAGAAGGTAACACAAGGGCAAGGATAACAGTAAGTAAAATCTCTGAGTCGTTCTGTAGGTTAAGTACAGTGCAACTCGCTGGTTCCCAGTCATTTAATCAATAAATGTTCTATGTTACTTGCTACTCTGATCAAAGTCGCCTTAAAATAACTTTTATGAGTACATAGCCATGGGAAAGTGAAGTAAATCTTGCAGAAGCTGTGACAAATGGATTTATCCAAACCGGAGGATGGAGGAGTAGAAGGTTGTCTGAGCTCCTTAAATAGGGAAAAAGGCAGGATCCTCAGGTTTTCATTGTTCCCTTGTGCTGGCTGTTTCTGAGTGTCAGCGTTTTTCAACATTTAGGTGAAGGTGACTGTAAGTTAAAATTCATTAGTAATTGGTATGGTCTCCAAATAAAGATAGTTAAATCAGTTTAAATTATGCCGATGCCTCTCCAATGAACCCTCTTTATACCTGACACGTTTGCCATTCACTTCTTTAAGGAAGAATTAATATTGTACACTACTATGTTTTGCTCTACGGGAAGAGCAGTAGTGTAACTCATTACAAAGGCTTTCTACCTGATGTTCCAGTTCTACTTGCTATGTAAAAAAAAAAAAAAAAAAAAAAAGTATTTTGAACTGAAGGAAGCAGAAGACACACCAAGGCTTTGCGTTGAACTGTTTTATATCAATATTGATTTTTTAAGGGGGTTTGTGTTATAAAGAGGGAGCTTTTATCCCCCTGAGCTCTTTGGCAATTATCTTCCTGCCATAAATGTTGATACGCACATAATGGATGTAACTAAAAAATCTCCTTATCCCAGCAGAAAAGGCTGACTGTTTGTTGGAGCAGAGAGAATGCTGAGAGTGTGAATAGACAAACCCATATGTCGCTGGTGAGAGAGATAAATGATGGACGAACAGGAGTTGGTTACTATGGATCAGCACAATAAACCAATTCCCATCATACACCTCTCTTAATAATATACCAGTTTCAATGCCATTGACGGGTAACCTAGGTAGCACCAGTCAACTGTAAGTTTTTCAACTGTTCTTTTATACATCTCAAAGAACAGTTGGGACTGTTCTAATTTTTTCAGATGTTGAGTGCTAAAATTATGCAGAACTTCCTTCCTTGCCAGTAATTTTGAAGGGGAACTTTAGAGCTTTGCTGTAAAATGCCAATTGTGCACGATACCTTTGTGTACGCATAGTAAGTTTTGTTTTGTGCACCCGCAAAACGGGTGCACTCTGAAAGGCAATTGCTTAACAAATATGTGAAGAAACTAGGTATTTAAAACTACCCTCATTAGTGTCATTTCAGATTGGACCAGATATTGGAAGATACTGGACTGTTGTTTGAAGTGAAAATAGCAAAAGAACAGCGCTGGTTTATTTTTTAAAAAACACAGCCCTGAAGAATAGGCAGTGATCAATAACATGGTTTTAACTTTCTGTAACCCATTTCAGGGCCACCAGCAGCTGAAGGGAAACTTTGCAAAACAGTATGTG